TAATTCAAATTGCAAGGTATATTGATTTCAGACTATCGTATATTTGTTCAAAAATAATACCAAACCACGTTTAGACGTTTAGTAATCAAAAAAGATTCTGTTGAATAATAATCACATCAGAAATCGTTTAGAATCAACCGAATGGGGATTTAATTATATGTTTTTATAGTATCTTTTACCCGGGCGCTTATACAATATATACTCGAATTCGGCTTAAATGCGACACTCCAGCTTTTCATACAAATCCTGTTCAGACTTGACATATTATTTCGACGCAATTATTATATGTGACCGACTCACCAGATTACAGTCCAGAGTCCAGACATGGACACGCACGCACTCGAGGGCTGAGAGCTAATATTATATATTATTATATCAGATCCGATCGGATAACTCGGCTTTAATCCTACATATGATCGTTAGGTCTTCTTTATTTTATCCGAACAGTAATTACGCTAAGGAAACATGTTCAGGCTATCCCGTTTTATAATGTGTCTTTTCAGCGACTTGTGAGCGGGCCATCAACGTATAAGATAGAATGACAAAATCTTCTAACAATCTTTTAAGCCATGAAAACGTTTCGGAAACTAAAACACTTGAGGTCAAACGAAAACGATTACAACTCCGAGTAAAAATATAACTAACAAAACAAATCAAAATTTATTCGTCACAGAATATGAAATATTAATATAATTTTTATTTCAGACGATAACCTGCAACTGAATAGTTAAAGTTTAATTGATTGAATGCCTAGTGAAATATAGGTAACTACACTTTAATCGCTGTTATGAATAATTTTGATACGGCGCGATTATACTTTATAATGAAGCACAATATCATATGTTATTAATATTATGCGTGTGGGGTGGACACTTTTAGATAAGATTAATACTAAAGATAATTATTATAAATATGATAATTTATCATCACATGACCAAGGGATGATACACGTTTTAATAGGTGCACTAGTTATATATATATATTATTTTAGATGTGTAAAAAAAAACGAATTTATATAATTTAAATCATATTTATGACCATTATATTTCATAATGAATACTTCACTGGGATTTAGTAAAAATAAAAAGCCTTTAACAAGGATTGTATAATATATATTATGTATTTTTTGTTAAAGTCATTAATTAAAATCATTTTATAACATTTACGTTTGGGGAGTGTAATATTATATATAGGTACAACTACGTTCAAAGCTATAACCGCGTGATTAACACAAACACAACGACGATATCGACGGGGGATTATTATAAAAATGTAGGATGTCACATGTAACATACATGAGATGATCAAATTCATGATTACATCCATGAATTATCATTATTTATTGATACAATTTAATACTATTTCATAGTAATTAAAACCTTTTTTTCGAAAACATCGCTCCACTCCTCGACGGTAGACGGAGGGCATACCTTTGAAATAAATATTTTATAATACAACGAATAAACGTTATATTAATATAATATGTAGGTATATCTAATTTATTAGTTTTCAAAAAAAAAATACCCATAAACCGAACTCTTGTTGATCTTGGCAGTATTAAGTATTATTCGAAGAAGAAAAACGTAGTGTGTTTACATTTTCGTGTAAGGTATGTTTAATCATTCTGCCAACAATTATAGATCAAATAAACAACTGTTTTATATTCTTTTTTTCTGATTGCATTTAGGATTTTTGGATATTATGGACTACACTTATTTTAGTGTACAATTATAACAATATTTTCTAATAAATTTTGCACTGTACATTATTATTTTACAAAAATATTTAGCATGACTTAAACATAAACTGCACAAGTAAAACATATTCAGACTTTTTGTTTTTTGGTAAAAATGAATCAATAAGTTATGAGTTACCTATTGTTGTGTTTGAGAGAAATATAATCTTTTATGAGCCAATATTAAAATCGAATACTATACCATGTCATTATATTGTATCATGTGACTTATTGTATAATATGTCGTTTATTATTGTATTTCATATCATTGATATTATTTAGTCAACAATGTATATTTTACTATCTATATTATGAAACATTGTACAGGTTAGGCTATATTATATATTTTTTAATACATTTTTACCATCACTATTTTTATAACGGTAAACAAGAGATTAACAGCTTTTCATATGTCTACCAAAATCGTGTTTGTCGATAACTGTGAAGAAAATGAATTTCGACTTATCCCAAGTCCGTTTCAATTAGAGAAACAAAAACACAGGTACCAACACTAGCTAATAAAATTGTATTTGTCTTCATAGAAAATTGTAATCAAAATCAAATCAATTCGAAACCAAATGTTAACACTATTATTATGATTAGTGATTACAATATAAAATCAAATATATTTTAAAACAGTAATGTAAAATGTGTTGTTTGTGACAAACCAACATTAGTCGCTGTTTTAGCCATACAATATTAACCTATATTTCAAAGGTGCGTGGTCACAACACGACAACAGCTTATGTACTAAACAACTGATTGGAAATCAACAACGATAATATTATAAGCTGGTGAAACTTGTGCAGTTATTAATTTGAATTGAACACGTACCTATACTTTTGAGGCTAAGAGATGACTAGCCTATTTCGGGACCGTATTTTGCCCAGCAAACGTTTGGAGAATCTACTGAAGTCTGGTGCTTACAATATAGTTGTTCATAAAATACGGAAGTACAACAATATTTGAAATGAGCTTCCTAGCTAGTATTCCTACCACCAATTGAAAATTATTTTACGTGTAGAATGCACTACCTACACTACCTATATACACGTGGGAAATCTGACGAGTCGAACACACACACACAGTATACTTATATACACAGGACATTAGGAGGTCAGTACCACCGGGAGCTTATTGCTTATCAGTTTTTATGTGTTATATCATTTTTTCATTTTTTTCAGATAGCAACATTATTTTGAAGATTCTACCTATTCAACGCCGTTTGAGTGAGCTCTTCTTCTCCCGTTTTCCACCAAGTATTTGGGAGACGACAAAACACGTTTGCCCGTCAAGCTAATATACTAATGTTATATCGAATAAATCTGTGGAATGATTTTTATTAATTATTAAATAAAAATAAAATTTGAAAACTATAGTTCAACCTAAATGCTTATAAAAGTCATATAACTGAGTAGAAAAATATAATATAATATACTATCCCTATTGATGGAAATGTATTAATTAACTGTGTGTGCATTTATTGTGGAGTAAAACAAATATTAAGATGTTCTTTAAACATTCAAATCTTAAACAGATATAAGTACATCATATTATGATCAACTGTAATTTTCTGCTTATGAAAACCAATATTTTAATATTACGCAATACTGCGCGTACATCACCCGTTTGGGTAATAGGTATTGATATTCTACAAGGTACCTATTCCACTGACAATATTTATTCTTAAATCGTTACCAAATGGAAATTATTCCATCTTTATTTATAGTCTGCTTAAAAATCTACAGTAAAAAAAAAATAATGGTTCTCAATTTTAAAAACAAGTAGTTTGTACCGCCACAGGACATTTTTTAATTGGCATGTAAAAACTAAATGCAATCCATACTTTATGTGGATAAATGTGGATAGAAATTTCCAGAATAAAGTATTATGAAGACCGTAAAGAGTTTTTTTTATTTTTTCCGATCATATTAAATCATCTGTAGCAGCAGCTTTATTCGACGAAACAATTTTTTTTAGTGAAGAGCCAGTGATTATAATATCTGAGAAGATTTTAAATACATTTTATTTTAGATTTTTTTTCTATCATAATGCAATCATTGTAAAATGATGCTATTTAGCATTAACTACGAAAAAAATGATTACATTTAATAATGGTGTTTTTTTTTTTAGGTTTTGAAAGTTTGTTCATGTTTAATCAATGTAAAATCATTTTGGATAGTTTAATTCCCTAAAATCCCCTAAAACTGTACCGAATACACAAATATATAGACCACCGCAGCGTGTTATAATAACGTATTTTTGACATATTATAAAGCCTAACGGGAGACTTTTGGGCAAAGAGTAGCATTACATTCTACGTCGAACCCAACATTACCCCCAAACTACCACATACCGAGACATATTCATATATTTAAACCATAATTCATTTTTGTTAAGTACCCGCAGCTTGAATTTCAAAATAATAGCATTTTAAACATGAACAATATACTCGTTAAAAGTACAACTATTGCACTTTAATGTCATATTCATTGGATAAAATGTTTTTTTTTCGTAGGTTTTTATGCAAAAAAAAATAACACATTAAAACTTATAAACAAGAAGGCCTTTAATATTAAATAAGTATCATCAATCAGACTGCACATATTCGAGACAAAACCTGGTGATTCATTCCTATAAGATATTAATGTTATAGTCAAATATATGTTTTTATGTCGACTTCACTGATTTTGTATCAACTCTGTTCGTTACAACTGTTAAAACTGTACTAAGTTTCGATTCTGACGAGCTTTAATTTTAATATTTAAAATTATAAACTTTTAAAATGTTAGTAGTTGGTAAGTTGATTCGTCCTATAACATATACCTATATCATATAAAATATAAATCATAATGTAGTTGTTTTAAATAAATAATAAATATTATGTATGAATATAGTATTCAGTATTAATTGAATAGGAGGTACCAACATTAAATAATATGAGTTATATGTTATAAAATAATTATTTTATTAAACAATTCATTAATAGATTTATAAATGTATTCATGCAACTTAGTCTGGTTTTTATACCATTTTATTTTTATAAATTTAAGACTCGGTGAAGTCAATAGTTAGATAGAATGAACAGTGTACGCCCTTGTATCAATAGTCGGTGGAATTTATAAACAGTTAAGTTTCTATATAGAAATAAGGCAATATATTTTAGTTTCAGTTTTCGAAATCAACTAAACAATAATGTAAAAGTTAATTATTTATTAAGCAAATAGTTGCAACTGTTATCAATGATAATGATTTGATGGTATTCTTACAATACGATTGTGACCAAAGAGTAGTTAATAACCACATGGCAAACATTTTCATCTGAGAGGAAAAATCTGAAATATTTTATGTTAAAAATTACAGAAGTATACAAAAACACCGAATAAAGTTGTTAATTACTTGCTATACGTTTTAATTTATTTTAAAATTGATTAATTTTTTTTATCACGTAAGCCACGCATACCTATATTTATTAAATGTAAAATGCATTAAATACCTTCAAGTTTGATTAACCACGAGTCTTAACAGTTATAATATATTAAACAATAGTACACCAACATTTGGATTTAAAATTTGTATAATATCAGCTGTCATTACAATTACGTAAATAAAATATCAATAATTATAATGGTTTTCCAAATTTAATACTGTAGGTATTATAATATATTATGATTTCCTGTATTTTCTAAAAGTAATTTAAACCTTACCAGGAAGTGTAATTTCGAGAAGCAATGTTGATACCCAGAAGGTGGTGTGTACATTTGCACTAATTGATCCATATTTCTGGGTCCGGTCCACACAATTTAGTTTGCATACCAAATGTTGTAGGTACCCAATTAGAAACACGACAAGAATAAATTTGATTTATTAAAAAACAACGTATGCTTGAAATTAAACCCAAGCTCCGAAAATGACACAACGAGTATAGAAAAAAAAATAAGTCAATATCACACAGTTTGTATTGTTAATACTTTTTAATCGTTTCATCGGGCTTAAAAATAAATACGTACTTTCCTATCCTGCACCTACCTATAGGTTTTACAATACGCATCGTTTGAATACAGCTGACTCAATTTGTTTTAATAATATTCAAATTTATTAATATATGGAGGAAAAGTAAACAAGTAAACAATGTTTATATTACCGCTTATAAACAATTATGAATTGCTGTTTAAAAAATTACCATCTTTAATTTATAGTCAAAAAGGTAAGCTTGGAACAAAATCTAAATGATTTAGCTTTTAAAATCAACTAAAATTTGAATACTACCTGTTAAAAACAAAGAAACTTTGTACTTCGATCCTTGAATGTATGTGAAATAATATTCATACATTTATACTGGTGATATTGGTACCGTATACATTGTTTACCTACCCCAGTACCTACTAAATTTAATTTTCAAACATATCCGTATGAAAAATAATTTTAAATCAATAAAATATATACTTGATAGTTTACATCTTTATATATATATATATGCAATTTTAAATGTACTAGATATCAGTTTATGTGATTAGGTTAATTGAAAATAATATTTAAAACAATTTCATAAACACATAATGCATCTACAACAAATTTAGCACTATAATAATATATATGGTACCTATTATTTACTATGTAGTTCAAAGCTTCGGTGTTTGATCATCAAGAGTCGGGACGACATTTGTTTGCCGTCCTGTAACAAAAATTAAATACAAAGCTCATACTAACATAGGTAATTAGGAAGAATCCGAGCTTGACCTCTAAAAAAATTTTAATCTACCCGCTTCACTGTCCACCCGATTTAACCGAATCAGTGCATGGGGCGCAACGATGCCCAGATTAAATTAATCAAGATTAGTCTTAAATTTATCAAAATTATTTTACTTTAGACTGACATTAGAAATAACACTAATAATAAATATATGTGTATATGCATAAAAAAATATTATAGATCTAGGGTGGAGTGGTTTTTTGAAGTTTGCGTTTAATTTACTGACATTTTTTCTAAATATGATAAAAACTAACTAACTATATTATTATGTATAGGTATTATAAAATATACAATACAAATTTAAACATAAACTATAGTCATTAATATATTTTCTGTATTTTATTTTCAATATAAATATTGTTTTATTCATATTTTAATAAGTTAAATTATATTAATTTTATAATATATTAATATCTACCTACTAAATGTCTGAAGCATATATTTTTATATTTCTATTAATTGTCATTTTTTCACATACATTTTCTTAAGATTTACTTTGAATGAATTTACTTTTCACCTCTAAAAAATGCGCCTGAGGGGTCTACATAACATGACCTTTTAGAAAAAAAATATTCAACCCGAATATTAATTCAAAATGTAAAAATCCAAATAAATTAAATCAAATTGACGATTATGGTTTATGGCATGTCATTATGAATTTATTTCATATTATTATTGTTTAAAATAATTTAACATAATATCTAATACCAACATGTTTTATAAGAGATTTAAGATCGAAATTATTACAAGAGGATGAGATGAACATTAGTCTAAGATTATTGAAACAAGTAGCATACTCACATAACACGATGTACCATAACAAACGGTTAAGTAATCAATTCATGTATAATGCATAACCTAGTAATTTGCATAATTCTATACGATATCAAGCGATGTGAATTACAGTAATTGTTAATAAATTAAAATTTTCCTAATAACAATAATAATTGTATAGTACCTATAATAAACAACATATTATGAAAAAAATTGACATTTCATATAATACGGAATAATTAATAAATTATTATTTCATTACAAAATGTTGGTACTTATCCTATCTCACTGCGAACAATGATATTGTGTATGAGTGAACTTGTAATAATCCTACAGTAACAAAGAATAAATGAGAAAACAAATAGGGACGGAGAGTCGAGATTTTTAGCGTAGTATAAAAAAGAATTTAAGCAAAAAATAATTAGTAATTGCAGTGCTTTGGTTGGTTAACTATTGTACTGTTGTTAATAAATAAGAACATAGCGTCCTAGGCATAATATAGGTAACAGTTTTTAAAGTAAAATTTACATAGCCATACAAAAGATTTAAATTATAATAATAGGGGTAAAATAGAGGATTAAATACAATCGAATTAGAAGTTTTCTTTCTCTCGACTTTTAATAGATAGGTTTCAAACAAATATTTCATACCTATTTTAATTTAATCAAAAGTCTATTAAATTTTAAAGACAATTATGGGTGACTTTAATATGATTCTTTTCCAAATACCAACAAGAGAACGGAATTACAAATCTTAAGCTTAAATATTCAAAACTAAGGACTGTTTTTTATGCTAATATAATATTTTAATTCCATTTATGCAGTTCCATCTAATTACGCGATTTGGGTTTTGAAAACAAGTTTGGATTTCTCATGTTGTCTTCTTTAGATCCTACTAATATATACATTTTAAATTAATTTGGACATAAACTTATTAAAATTTAAATTAAAAAAGGTTGTGAATAGATGTCGCTCTGCTGTATAGTAGGCTACAAGTGGGTCACTGTAATGGTTGGTGTTAAACTGGAATTCAATGATATAATATCATTCTATAAGAAAAACGATTCTGTGCGAAAACGGTCGGTCAGCCTATGATATTACTAAGTATTTTTTATGATATTATTGTGAATTAAGTAATTAATATATTATAACCTATATTTACGTGGAACCTTGTTTTAAATTTTCAATCCTTATAGCTATACAATTTGAACATTTTATACATTTTTAACTACAAAATAATTATTAAATTTTAAATTTGATAAATTTTGTCAAAATTCGAACTTTAAATGCTTATAATTGTAACAATATATTATAGGAGCCTACATTCAATTTTCACTTTTTTTTACCCACCAAATAACATTTTATTGATATTTATAGAAAATAGGACTAAAAAAATTGAAAACTGAAAATGTCCGTATACAGCTCAAAAAGAGTCAAAATATTTTCAAAATTTTATGGTGTCTAGAAAATGAAAATATAAACATTCAGTAAAATGTTCATGTATCTACAATTATTTCTTTTTGAATAACAATAAAATAACAAAACCGGTACATGAGAAATTGAGTGAATATTCAATATTGTAAAAATATGAACTTCAAACGATCATAAAAATTTAATTTAAATTTAATTTTTTTTTGATAAAGGTAGACAAACTTATGAATAATCTTGTATTACATTTTCAAATCTTAGATTTAACAAGAAACATTTTTACGAATTCTTAACTCAAAATATGGCGATTTTGAAAATTATAAGGAAATTTTTACTTTTGATCCCCCAAAGTACCAACTACTAAAAGATACTGTTGAAAACAATTTAAGCATTTTTACTGTCCTAAAAGGTGATGACAGACATAAAAATAAAATTAAAATAATAAATAAATAAAAAATAAAATCATATCATTGTAAAATCAATAATTTCATCTCTCCGCTCAAAATCTAAAATTTAAAAAAATTTAATATATTTTTGTATATTCAGCAGTGAATTAGATAAATAAATGGAGAATATTTTTCATTGGATCCAAAGTAAATATTGAACGTATAGCGACGTTTAATATTAAAATTGCATAATCGGTATGATGGAATGAAAATTGATGTATTTAGTAAAGAAATAATATGCGATTCACAAGACGTGTCCTTTTTTAAAAACCACATCTAAACACACACACGCTGATTTACTATGTACACACTACAAAGATCAGTACGCAGAAAATCTTATTACTGGCCAGTATACAGAACTCATCTTTACTAACAGAGCCTTTTTTCAGTTTTTTTTTGTGTCTGTCATCACGGTTTGGGGCAGTAAAACTACTTCGATTTTCTTCAACAGTATATCTTGATTGTTGGGAAAGTGAATTTAGTTGGTGCATTCGGGAGGTCAAAATTTAAAATTCTGTATAATTTTCAAAAGTGCCGAGAAGAAGAATATAAAAATTTAAAAAAACGGTCATTTTTACACAAAATCGGTTTTCGTTAAAATCGATTTTGGTTTTCGGTGTACCTAACTCTAAAACAAATGAACGTAGGGATATAGGTACATGCAATTTTCACTGGTTGTTTATATTTGCATTTTCTATACACTATAAAATGTTCAAAATATTTTGATTTGTTTTTAACTGTTTAGGAAAATTTTCAGTTTCCAATTTTATGAGTCTTTTTTTCTATATATGTCAATAAAAATTTATTTGTTGGGTAAAAAAAAGTAAAAATGTAATACAAGGCTAATGTATTATATTGCTACAATAGTAGTTTAAAAATATTAAAATACATAGGCACAATTTTTTTTTATAAGCCTTTAAAGTATACATTTTATA